AACCTATTTCATCCTCTTGTCGACATTATACTTCGTTTATGACTGCTCTCACTCTCATGCGAATGTCACACAAGCCCCCGACCTTTACATGCCATATTCCCACCTCAATTAACATATTGCGTAATTATTTCATTCCATATCGACCCGAGTCAACGCGCGTGACGAACCGCCGCGGAACAGTTGGTCTGTTCCTGGAAAATGCTTCACGTTCATTGATCGTTCATGGATTCAAGGGTCGACATTCGATAACTTTATGGGAGTATTTATTCAGTTTCCTTTTTTTAGCCGATTACTATATTGGGTATTAAAAAAGATCGAGTGTCATATTTTGACGACTCAATGGATAACGCTTCGTCAATCGATTTGTATGCACCAATATGAAAAATTAAAATTTAATTTTACTCAATGAAACATTTTCTTATAAATAATGCGATTGTGGCGTTATATTTATTTCGAGACAAATCGTCTCTCTCTCTCTCTCTCTCTCTCTCTCTCTCTCTCTCTCTCTCTCTCTCTCTCTCTCTCTCTTCTCTCTCTGTCTCTTCAATGTATTTTAATATGGTTAATAATTATGAGCCAAACGGAGAAAAAAATTTTTAAATAATCAATTTCCAAATGAATATATCTCGATACAGATTAAGTCATCCCTTAAATACAATATATTCGTAACGAACCAGCACGACCGTCTCAGATATCTGATCATACCACGAGGGATAATATAATATCTTTCGTCTTAAGGCCCGTTGGGAAATTTTGCCCTCTAGACCTCCTTTTAGTCCATCATTGAGATGATTATCACCCATTACCATTATATTCATATTGCTAATTTTGCGTATTAGTTATACCTGTTACGTATTAGACGCGAACATCATTTTATTACACATTTTAACATTAAAATATTTATAGTAAAATAGGTTGCATTTAAAAAGTTTTCAAATGATTAGTTTAAAATTATAAGTAATAATTTATGCTCCGATGAATAAAATGTACTTTTTAGAAATTTTCTTAGATTTACTCCAGTCAATTTGTTTCTATTGTTAAGGAAAGTTTATGCACTCTCGTGCATTTAGAAAATGTCATAATCTATGCGAAACTTTAAACAGGATTGAAAAATTTTATTTCAAGCGAACGATGGTGATTGCATAAGACACTTCCAACAGTCGTATCTACAAACTCGTGAAGTACAGCTAAAAAAACTTACGAAATGATAGGAAAAGAGATAAACTTCAACACATTCGATCCCCAAAGGATTTTCGAGAATTTTCCAATTCCCGTTGATCGGAAAACTCGGCATATGCGTTTAAGTACTTGTACAACTGTAGCGTGATTTTAGTATCAAGTTTTTTTCCCATGATTTCGCAGATAGCCAGCCGGTCTACCTCGGTGAATCTACATAGAAAAACGAAAACCTAAAAGTCACACGGCTTTAACCACAGCACATATTTCGAGAGCTGTCGGATAAAAAAAAATACTCTATATATATTCACTCTATACAGTGTTATGAACGAGAAGGTTAAGAGAAAGGGTTGAGAAAAGAAAGAACAAGGCAAGAAACCAGTGATAATAATCTCCCTATAGCGCGTCCACATGATAGATGAAGTTTTCGTGAAAAGGACACAGCATGACCAAGAGAAGTTAAGTATGCGTGTAACGTCCAAGGACTCTTGATTGATAGACCGAGTGCTAATAAATTTAAAATTCCATAGTTCTGATAAAAATTCGATTGACTTTGCTCTTGACCTCTCTCCTATTTTTACTCTCCTTTCTTAGCAAGCATTTTTCCCTCAAGCTTTTATGTCCATTTACTTTTTCGACATCGTAGTTCCTTCCTTCTTTCTTCTTTTACTTTCTTCTTCTTTTTATCCACCTTACTTAAAACGCTATAAAAAAAGGACGCATAGCCATGGGAGTCTTTTCCTACATGATGTAACACACGTGTCTCTCTTGAAGAAAAGTTCCCTTTGCGTTAACTCTTCCTATGGGCCACTTCTCTTTATGTCGACTAATGTAAACTCTTTAGTTTCGTCTCTTCCTGCATATCCAATGTTCTTTCTCTCGTTGGTACTAGTTATTTACAAGTCAAATGCGTACGATCGATGCCCGGTGAGAGAAAGAGAGAGAGAGAGAGAAAGATGATGGTGGTCGGATCGAGGAAACTGATACGGAGGCCAACGAACGTATAACAGGGGTTGAACATTGAAAAGAGAAGAGGACAGAATCGGAAATAAATGTGATCGGACTTGGGGAGCGTATGTTTACTTTAGCTTTGAACGTTCTTCTTTGTGCATGGCTAGTATCAACAAGAAATAACTCGCAAAAAAGGCAGCTATCAGAAGATCAAAAAGATACCGGAACAAGAAGAAGTTACGGAAGGATTTTATCCAAAAGCAGAAGAACTCTTACAACCATGAAAGTTCGTTCGATCGATGAGTCTCGTACTCTTTCTTCTTTCCCGTAGGAAAACTCTTTTGCATTACACGACCACCTGCACGTCCGGAAAAATTTCTTCTTGCCCTGATCTTTCTTCCTTTCCTTCTTTTCTTTTATTTTGAAAACGCGTTTCTCGGAGCTATGCATCTTGTGCCTCGAACTTTTCATTATTTCAAGATTGCATCCTTGACTATTCTCTTTCTTCGTAAACCTTCCCTTCCTCTTCAACGTAATAACGTTACAACGATTGTGGTTTGCTTTGTGGGTGGGGAAACGTAATACATGTATAAAGTTGTTTTCAACGTAATTCTCAACAAAACGACCCGCGGGACGCTTCTACCCCTAAGTCATAGTCCGTTTTTATTATTTTATTACGACGTAATGTCGACGCAATGACTCTAGCTTTATAATTAGCCCTACGAAGCCTCGAGAGGCATTAAAATGGCATTCTTTTTCTTTGAAATAGGAAAACTTTCGAAGAATCCCAAACGCCTTCTACGCGCGAATAATTATAATATTTTTAGCCTTCAACATTTTGGCCTCGTTTCGTAATGACAATAAAAACACCGGTGACTGAGAAATGAAAAATAATAGAGAAAAGCTTAGTAGAAAAAACTGATTTAAAAAATTTCGTTGTAAAATACGAGAAGAAAGAACAGCTGTGTTACTTTCACCCTAGAAGAGTGTACTATTTCAACAAAACTTTGTTCTCGGGAGTTATTATATGCGACTCTCTCAGTGAAACTTTTCTGACGTTCAATAAACCACTACTACGACAAGTTACGTTCATTACGCGTCCGTAGAAATGATAAACTACCCTATATGAAAACTCTGTTTTTTTTCACTTTTATCCACCCATATCTGACAATTGGAAAAAAGAGGTATTATCATCGCTCGAATATTATTCTCGATTTTCTAATTCTTATGACTTTTACGGTACCGTTCGCTCGACAGTAACAGAATTCGGGCACGCTAACAAAGTGTCTCAACAGAATTTCATTATTCGAAGTAACAGGACTGCTACATCGGACGTTAATTCTTCTATAGCGCGACATTGAAATTTATAACCCTCCGAGCGATTTCCGTTAACCACCGCGCTATAACTCGGTCAGCTCTTTCGCCGACTTTTGGAATAAATTCAAATGGTAAGACTGTCGCCACGACGGTGTACAAGCTAACTTACACATCCAAGTCCAAAACCTTTCCTTCTTTCTTGATCTCTCTCTCTCTCTCTCTCTCTCTCTCTCTCTCTCTCTCGCTATTCCGTATTCCTTTCTCTCGTTTTCGTACCACGTCCCAGAGGGAGTAAGAGAGAACAGGATGAATTGCATTGGGCTCTGCCTGCTGGCGAAAAGAGTAATTTGATGCACAACCTCGGACTCCTCGGGTCTCAGCAATAATAAAAGGAGTAAAGTGTACGCTCGAGCGCAAGCACGCCTCTTCGGACTCGCCCCTTGCCGTGTTGTATTAATTTAACTTTGGCGACACGTCGACGGCACGGCCTGCCGACTGCACCATGTCGAGAAGTAGAAGAAAGAAAGAAAAAGAGAAAGGGAGAGAACGATATTAAGCTAAATTACCGAAGTTATCAACGTGTAACTCTTTCTAAAATTAGAAAACGAAAAGACGGAAAACAAGGATCTTGGACGATAGTAGAAGAAAAGAAAGATATCGCAAAGAAAGTTTAGGAGAACGAAAAGATAGCTTCCAATAGTAGCCACCGGGAGTTCCCTTTCTGTTAAACGACGCATCGAAATCTTCCTTTCCAAACGATTTACTTCGAGAAGGGCGTTTAGCTTCCGCCCGTTAAAAGGATTTCTATGATTAACGAGGTTCTCTCGAGAAATCCGTGAAATTTGCTTGCCTAACGACTCTTCTCATACCTCGGAAAAATAGTCACCCAAAGTTTTTCCATTTTCAGGGAGACTAGGTATCACGTCCAAATATTTCAAAAGCTTTTCGAACTTTACCGTTCACCGCAAAAATCTCTCTACAATGGTGGCATTAATTCGACTTACTTTGCTATCGTTAGCTTGTTTCACTCTTACCTAAAACGAAAACAAAATACGCGCATATAAACTGGGCAATTGATTCATATACAAATGAATATCGATTACAATTTGCATAGTTGAATGAATTTAAAAGATGAAGATTACAATGGTCCGAGAAAAATACGAAAATCTAGGTGACGGATAATAAGAGTACAAAAAATATAGTTGCAATGAATTTTACTTATTTAGAAATATACAATTTTGTTAACTATGAATAATCACTTGCTGAAATTACAGTATTCTGAATACATTGTAACAAATAATAAACCTTTTTACAAAACATATTTTCAAATATAAATAAAAAAAAATTTCTAATAATAAAAATATAAATGAAATGAAAATAAATGTATTTTTGTTTCTCGAAATTTTATTGCCTTTGTTACAATAAACACATTAAGCATAAAATGAATAAATTTTTCTTTTTTATCATGGGAAAACGAACGATATTATTGCATTATTTTCTAGATTAAATATGCTTAGTACGACTCATTAATAACCAACATTTACCTTTGTTAATAGAAATCCCCAGGATGGAGCTGACAACGGCGAGATTGTTACTCTGCTTAATTCTGACAATGATGGCCATGTGCCGAGGACAAGATGTCGCCCAAGACTGGATGCAGTGCACTGCGTCGTCGTGTAAATGCAAATGGGTGTCCGGTAAGAAAACGGCCGAGTGCATGAGGCAGAATCTAACGCAAGTACCGCAAAACTTGTCATCGGAGATCCAGAGTCTAGATCTTACTGGGAATCGAATACCCCACTTGATCGAAGACATCTTCAAACTGAACAATCTCGTGAATCTTCACAAATTGGTACTGCGCGAGTGTGGCATCGAGACGGTGCATCCAAAGTCGTTCAGAGCACTGAAGATCATAATCGAGATCGATCTCTCAGCTAACAACATTAGAACTCTCCATCCTGGTACTTTTGTTGAGACCCTACGACTCAGAGTGCTACTCTTGAATCAAAATAAACTGAGGGCCCTAGAGGATGGTTTGTTCTTCAACTTGACCTTCTTGCAGAAGGTTGAGGTATCCGATAATAAATTGGAAAGAATCGAGGAAAAGACATTTCGCAATTTACCTGGTCTACAGTCCCTCACTTTAGACGGCAATAATCTGAGCGTACTTAAGCTTCACAGTTTCGAGAATCTACCAAAATTGAACAGTCTCGAGCTTCAGAATAATCCTTGGAACTGTAACTGCCGACTCAAGAGATTTCGCGATTGGACGATAGAACGAAAATTGTACACGAAGCCTAACACTTGCCAACAACCAGCCAATCTTGCTGGGAAGATGTGGGACGAGGTTAGTAGCGATGACTTTGCTTGTCGCCCAGAAATCTTTGTGATAGGACCAGCAGGAAAACTCGAGATCGGCCAAGGAGATGCGAAACTCTGGTGCAGAGCCACGGGCATTCCTCGACCTCAGGTAACCAACGTCTTTCCTTCGTTCTTCTACCGTGATACTTTAAAGGCAATTCTATCCTATTACTTAGAAAATACCGGTAAAAGTATAATTTCTTCTAATTCGTCTTAACTTCAATCTTCTCGGTTCCATTTCGCTGATTTCGAATGAATGTCTTTAAGAAGCCTGAGAAATGCGCAAGAGCAATTTGTGAAGCCTGGCAATATTTCCAAGTAAGGACTGGCACGTAGAATACATTTCCTTCTTCGTAAACGGTAGCACGCTAGTCTGTTCCGGGTTATGCATTCACAGACGATCTAGTGGGACATATTTGTCTCGCGTCTCGTGACATTCGGAAAGTCAAGCAGGAATACATTACTTATCACGCTCACCTTTCGGATATGACGAATACGATCGTATAACCAGTATCTTAACCAGGTGTTATAGTACATCATATTCGCGATCCGTCATACTTAGGACTGTCAAGTCATTACGTTTATGAATCGAATTAAAATTGGACGTTACTTTTCGAGGATAGAAAATGTCACGCGATGTTGACTCGATGGTTCTAGACTCGGTTATTTTCGCGATGACCTTGCCGATTAGAAATTAAATTGTAGTTGTTTACGAATTACCGGATATTAATAAATATCAAATTCTTTTCGATTTGAGAAAAATTGCGTTTTTCTCATTTCTTTTACTTTTTTTTTTTTTTTTTTTTCAATTATATTAACCATATCAACCACATATGTACTCTGTTTATAGCTCGTCTGGGTGCATCGATCGAAAGTGTTGAACAATCAAAGCAGACGACATAATGGAGAACGTGGTTATATTATCGAGTCCAGTAACGATTGGTTGAATCTAACTATCCCTGATGTCGGTCCATCCGACAAAGGTGATTACGTTTGCCTTGCGAAGAATCCAGGTGGTAGCGTAGAGAAGAATGTAACTCTGAGCGTCGTGGGCGACCCTATCAGTGGTAGGGATAGTACGATTAGTCTACCTTTGGCTATCGGACTCGGTATTGCTGCCCTTCTACTTCTCCTCGTCACGGTGACGCTCTGTACTTGCTACTGTCGACGTCGTCGAGATCATCATGATGAGAAAGGCTTGGAAGCAGTATCTCTAGAACATCATAGTCTAGGCGAACAAGAGAAGTCTTTGATCACGACCATAAACACCAGCTCGGTTAAAACAGCCAGGCGATATGAGGCACCCTCCGTGACATCGCACGGCACCGAAATGACGGAGCTGAATCGAACCCTTCTCGACAACGACTCGGTCTTCGGTCAGTACACTGCATATATAACTAAACAATGTGCCGCCAGGTGCTAGCCGGAGTAACGATCGGTCAACCACAACTGCCGCTTCTATGCACCGCGTTCGCTCTGACGTTAACGAGCATCGAATGTGACTCGCGAGAGCGTCGAGCTGAGATCTACCTTAAGATTATTGGAAATGGAAATATCATTTTTATTCCGTATAATTGCTTCCTATAGGAATAACTGAATATCTTAATTTTAATTTCTATTAAAATCATTTTCTATACCATCGGCTATTTATTTCGATTGATATTTTCGGACTTTTGTAAATATTGTATCATATACCTATCATAATCGATCGATGGAATAAAATATCTCAATCTTGTATATAGCTAAACTAATTTATAAAGTGCTAAGTTTCACAATAGTAAAAATAACAAGTCACGAAGAAAAGGTACAAAAATTTAACGCGCTCTCTTGATTAGAATTACAGAGGTCGATATAGCGATTTAAGATTCAGGACGATACGATTGAGCAAGCACACAGTGCAATCGCTTTGTTGAGGGAAACAGTACCCGGCAGATAAAAACGAGGCTTTAATTTAAAGTCACAGATAAAAGCAATCCTTTTTCACGGTAAAAAGATTTATAATTCGATCTACCCGTTGGCTAAATAGCTTCTTTGGTAAATAAAGGATGCACTAAAAAGGCATCGCATTAACGAGCATGAACCTGACACATCGAAACGAATCGATTGGAATGGTTTTCTCCGCAACAACGATACTTGTTACGTTTCTTCCAAGTGTCAGGTTGACGTAGATGATAACTATATGGGTTAATGAACGATCCATTTTTATTCGCGATTATGTCTTTCGAAAGGAAAATAAGTCGAGAATATAATACCTCGTTCTCGCTTTATCTTTTGTCGAAGATAGACAAATACAGATATCTATTTTAATTTTACTCGAAATTCTTTCGTCAATAGCGTACGATTGTTCTATCCGAATATGCAAATATAGAGGATCGCGAGAAAAATATTGCATATCTAACGCCACGAGTTGAAAAGAGAAAAGCGAGAGAAAAAGAGAAAATATGATAAAAATGAGAGAGAGGAAGAGAGAGAAAATTTCCCCCAAACTGATTTAACTTGAATAGAACGAAGAGGAAACAACGTGGTTGTGAATGAAATGATTGGAAAAATCGATATTTTTTTTTATTTGATTTTATCTATTTGCAAGTTATTCTTTTATTGCTCGCTAGGAAAATTCTATATAATAAAATATTTTTTAAAAAGTAAAATTTGTTAATTATACAATCGTTTGTTCAAAATAAATATATCTTCATTGTTACTAGAGAAAAATAGAATAACGGTATCTTATTGTGTAAAAAAATCATAATTAGAAACCAAGAAAAATAAAATTTCGCTATTATTTCATTATGCTACTAACTTTTCCGTGGCCGAGAATATAGAGAAAAGGCATGACAATGAAGACAATATGCTCCATAAAATGAAACGTTAATACGGATGAGAGGCTGCAATTTCTGCACGAATTCTCGTCAAAAAACATTCTATGATATCCTGGTGTTTACTTTCGACTTACTATATAATTTCACGGGCTATCAATTTTAAAGTTCATGCCAAATTTTATTGCCAATCGGTGTTATTAATTGTACGAAAGCTCTGATAATCGAATCGATTCTAATCAAGTAATCGCCAAAAAAAAGAACAAATAATAAAAACCGTGTTAGAATTAGGCAACGAAATTTCGACAATAGTCGTTTCGATCTCGACAATACTGTTACTTCGAAATGCAGGGAGAATGAGTATAACGTTTGGCTTCTCCAAATTATGTTCACATAATAGAGAGACGGCGGATCTCTCCCTTTTGCGTTCGCTGCTTAACCACAATAGGGCTGGCTCTCGACCACGCCGTAAATAATTGCAAACGTCTCCTCGCCTCCTACATGTTGGCTTTGTAAATCTCCACCGACTGGACTGGTCGGTAGGTCCAGTCATCACGATTTCGATATGCACGCTAGAGATTGTCCAAATCTACTCTCTCCACTATGCTCGTTATAACATATAATTTCGTTGTACAATATAATTTCTGTTTTTTCTTTTATTTCGCTCTCTTTTCTTCGTGCAAAATTAGATTTTCTTTCATTTTTTTCTCTTTTGTATCTTTTTATTACATTGCTTTGTCGCTATTTGCAAAAGTAGTAAGTCTTTCAAGTTACGCTTAAAAGTAGATATAACGTAGGAAAAATAATTCGTTCTAAACAGCTTCTTACGCTTTACGATATCTTCTTTTTATCATATTTTTTTCGAAATTAATTTCAATCGAAAATTTGTAGAATATTCAATGTAATCCAATCGTACTAATGCTTCATCCTTGATGGAACGTTAATTTCTGTCATGAAAGGATAAACGGTCAGGAGTTTCGGATTACCGTTCGTCGACGAGCGTAAAGCTTAAACGTGGTACTCGTTAACGCACGGCATCGTTAGGAAAATTGTACGATCGTTATGTCGTGACTTCGATCGTGGCATCGAAGTAACCGACGATCCTAATATAAACTTCGAGACACGACGAAAGCAAGTTTGCACTTCGTCACTTCGTTAGTCGCGAGCTTTCTTTTCTACGAAAGTTTCATGGTGACTTTTTCCGAGTATTTTATCAATAAGTTACTCGCTCCATTTTTTAAGTTAAGAATTTGTCTGATCATAAGTATTGAAAAAAGTTGTTCATTTCAACGACGTATAATTCAACTGACGTAGTCAATGTTTTCCAAAAGAAAACTTGTTCAGTTTAATATTTCTTTCAGGGATGTTTTAATTATTGGAAGTGATAACGTGTCTGTTGAGAAAATGAATTTTCAGCTGTGGATAAAGAAAGAATTTTTTTCATTATCCCTTGAAAAAGAAAGAATTTTTTTCATTATCGAAAAGAAATCGTGACAAAGTATCGGTCTGCCGGACGGCTTTCTCTCTGTCTCCGTCTCTTTATTTTAAGTTTATATTCATTTCTTCGCGCAAGCTCTTTTAAAATTTTCTTTTTTAACGTTCGTCCTTCCCCTTTGTTTCTCTTTTGACAGCTGACGGTGTGGTCGGTAGCGGCGTAATCGGCAACGTGGTCGGCGGAGGATTGGACGAGGAAAGAGAGGAGGGTCCCAGGACGACAGAATTCGATAATGGGGGTGCAGGTGGAACTTTGAGCCGTGTCGGAAGTGGTACTTACCGACAATATCCACCAGACCTGTTGGCCTTCTCTGGTGGTCGTGGAGCTTCGCCAACCAGTCAGGCTTCTACAGCGCCAGACAACACTCGTCTTCCTAGTCAGCAACATCAACCTCAGCAACAGCAACAACAACAGCAGCATCAGCAACGACAGCATTCGACCTCGAGTCCGACGTCTTTGGGCTATAACTCACCACCCGGACAATATCCTGCAACTTTCAAGACTCTCCCTCATAATCGAAGCGTCACGCCGTACGGTCTTGCAGGATCTGCAGTAGCACCGGTGATGCCTCGTCACGGATACGTCACCATTCCAAGAAGACCTCGAGCTCCCAGCTGGAGCAGTGGCCCACCGACTTCGCCCACTGATGCATTGGAACCCGTATATGATAATCTAGGCCTACGCACTACAGCAGACGGCAGCTCTGTGCTTTCCCTAAATAAAAGTCCGGAGACCGGATCTTCGGTCAGAGGAAGGCAAATACCTGGTACACCGACTTCCCACTATGCGACCATGCAACGAAGCACTCCCAACATATTAGCCGGTAGTTCGAATGCACTCGGTACCCTCGATAGATCAGCACCCGAGGGTGCTCCCGAGGCCATTTCCGACTGGTCCATTAAATTGGCCGATGAGGCTCTCGATATCAGCTCTAGATCTCTCGGTTTACAACAACAAGGTAACAATACGTTAGGTAGGAAGATTCCACCTAGGCCCCCTCCAAAACCCAAAAAGAAATCGACCAACGGACCTCTCTACGAAGACGAGGATGAGGATGGCACGGAAGTATGATCCTATGAATATAATGGACGATGAGGACGTCGGGTCTTCCTACTTCTTCGTTCCCGCCACTACTACGTCGAGCCATACTACTCTATCGAGTCGCCGGCGATCTCGGGAAAGAAACCAATAGTGCCTTCATTCGAAGATTTTGATGATTCTTCTTCCGACGTGAACGCAAGTCGATGTGGTTCTTCTTTCGGACAAAGAAACGATGCTGCGACATGACGATGATGAGAGGACGACGATTCGTCGTTTTATCGAACATCGAGCTGATGAGGGATGAAGATAAACGGACTATAATTCGCATGGGATGCGATTTATCACTCTTTCTCTCGATACGCGTTTTCTTTTCCCTCATTTTCTCTTCTTTTTCCTCCTTTTTCTTTTTTTCTTTGCTTTCTTTTCCATTTAAATCTTTTCGTTCCTTTCATTTTCTCCTTCGCTTTTTATCGACTCGTCCGACAAGCGAGATTAGAACGATTTCACGATTTATATCGCGAGATATTGCTTCGCGAAAAATCGTTATGCGATGTTAACGATTTCGTAGAATGATATTAATTGAGAGACAATGAGACAAGTAAGGAGTATTTAAAAAAAAATTGTAACTTTCTTTCTAAGATAACCTGAATTATTATTATTTAATCCGATAAATTGAATTTATCCTTGACTGATTAAAGATTATATTTATTTGTTAAGACAGAGGAGAACTTTTCCAATATCTACGACGATCTTCTTCTATTTATCGCAGTTTCTCAATTTCCGAGAAATCAAGCTGGTTAACGTGTCGTCGATTTTCTCCGGTCTCTCCAAACAACTCAGGTCACTCTTTAACTTCTGTTCTTTAATATCGTTCAATGTACACGTGAAACTCCGTTTCGTGATCGACCAAGCATTCGTGGTTTATGGTTGTTCGACTATAGAAGCTTTTTGTGTTGATGAAAGGTGTTAGATTTATTTGACAAGATTAAGTAAGCTATTTCTATTATCGTATCCATTGGAACACTTTATATAATTATTTCCAACATTTTATTGATATTTCAAACTACGGATGAAAATAAAATGAAGAAAGTATATCATTTCGTGGAAAAAAACTTTGAACATTTTTTCGGACAAAGTTTCTAAAGGAATAATATTATAAAAAAAAAAAAAAATACAAAAAAAAATACAAAAAAATACAAAAAAAAATACAAAAAAAAGAAGTACATTCTTTTATTCATCGGTGATTGCGAGACTTGCAACAAGTTGTAAAAAGTCGATTCTAAAAATTCTCTCTCTCAGGATGAAAAAGAAAGAGCAAACAGAAGAAAGGTGAATAGGCCCGGAAAAGATGCTTTAAAATAAAATGCAGTAAAACTATAACGATCCTCGTGGCTCGTGGCCAATAAATCCAGTGTCAAAGAACGACCTTTCCGGGGAGAGTGGTTGGAATCTGCCGTGTGAAATACTGCCGGCAATGCCGAACATCGTGTTAGCGAAAAAAGCTTTTCCGTATTGCATTCGATAGCTACGGATCGCCATCGTTTATTTAGAAAACGCGCGAGCGCGAAAGCTGAGCGAACGAAACAGAAACGAGGAGAAAAAAAAATCGTGTTGTACCATTCATAGGTCGAAATAAAATGGTCAATAACATCGTAAGTTGGAAATAAAGATGTAAAAGCGGACAGATTCTATAGCGATATACGATATTACATGATTGTACCTGAATCTCGAAGATCTCGTTTCTATGATGACAACAAATTTCCATTTTTATCGATCTAAAGCTGAAAAACAAACTCTCCGTGGTATATCTATCTATCAAAAAATATTTTCTTACTATACGAATTGAAGAGTATTGGTTCTTCCTTCAAACATGCTCGTTGATAATTTTTTATATTTCTATCGTCATACATATTTAATTTTATATAAATATATTTATATTATATTACGTTTGTATTTCTCACTTGTCTCATTCGATCGATTACTCATTGCTTCTCAATTAATATTATTGTTAAATTTTCAAAGGTTCGTACGTATATCAAACAAAGAATCATATTTCGAATTATGAAACATGATCCTCTGTTTTCGGCATTGTAAAAAGAATATTGTTAGGCTTTTAATTGTTACAGAATAGTCAAGCTTAAATTCAAAACGTTAAACTAAAAGTATATGCGAAAAATTTGAGCTAATAATATAGCAAAGATTAATAAAATAGCAAATAAAAGTAGCAAAGATTTTCTTTGTGTTTTTGTATTTTTATTCAACAGTTAGCTGAACCAGAAGCTCAAATTATTCGCGAATGCTTCGTTACTTCCAAACGTAACGCATAACGAATGGACAATATATATATATTTGTTATTTGAAAGTCTTGTTCGATAAGTTATTTTTTTTTTTTTTCTAAAATTCTGGAAATAAGCTATTAACGATCGATTCTTTTTTTTCTGGAAATAATCTATTAAAATAAATAAATTTATCTAACTAATAGGAAAGGCCAATGACAATTAAATTTAATTATCTTTTAACGTTTATTAGAAACTCGTTAGTCCCGAAAGTTATTTCTTTTTGGATTCTTTTGCATTCGGTCATTTTACAAAAACGAATAATAAGATAAAGGATCGAACAGAATGAAGGATATAGAATTAGGTAATTAGATTCAATCGATAAATACAGGTGCCAACTCTCAGCTCTCTTCCCATCTATCTCTACTTAGAAAGGAAAAGAAGGTAACAAAAGCAGAGTTCGTTAAAGTGAAAAAGAAAGATAGGAAGGAGCAGCATCGATACACTAAGGGACTTCGCCGCGTAATATTTTCAGCGGTCTAGAATGAGAAAAAAAAAGAAAAAAGATAACTAGAAAGAAAAACGAAGAGAGAGAGAGAGAGAGAGAGAGAGAGAGAAAATCGCGAGCCGTTTGTTCGTTTTTCAAGAGAGAAACCGGCCGAGCATGCGATCTAATGTACATATATACACAGACTGGCGAGTGATTGTCATTGAACATTGTTTATATGTAAATACGAGAAGCGATGAAATAAAAGAGGGAAGAGTAAAGAGAGGAAGGAAATAAAAGCGGAAAGAGAGAGTGAGGGGGAGAGAGAGAGAAAAAAGAGAGAGAGAGAGAGAGAGAGGGAGGAAGAGAAAAAGCAGAAGAAAGGATCTCATATACGGCCGGCGCGGTCTCGCGAGTATATTTTTGTAGTTTTGTATTTTGATGTGCTCTCTGAGCGAGATCCCCGTGCTTGCTCACACCGAGAAAACGATAGGACGTTCGCAGGATGGCCGACAACGTCGACAATGAACGTGTTTAGCGTCGTTTCGTCAATCGATCGACATTTCGCGTATGCACGAATTACGAATTATATTCAGTGGCATTCGCGTATATACATATGCTGTACAAGTATATGTACATGTTAAATACAAGCATAGGTATGTCTCTCTCTCTCTCTTTTTCTCTTTATATATATATATATATATATATATATATATATATATATATATATATCTGTAGATACAGGCATACTTATGTATTTATGTATGTATGTATGTATGCGTACGTATGTATATACATCCAGCATAGCTCGCAATACAAAGCGTTAAAACCATAAATCTCGCCATCCAAATCGGCACACGTGTCTCGAATCACGAGCAATTCACTTTACTTACGCGTTGGCATTCGTAAGTGGTTAAATTATTCTGCCCGTCGATATCGATGCCGAAATTTCCTATCCGTCTGTCTGTCTGTCTGTCTGCCTGTCTGTCTGTCTGTCTGTCTATCTGCTTGCCTGCCTGCCTGCCTGCCTGCTTGCTTGCCTGCCTGCATACCTGCCACATCCTTTTCCGGACATTTCATCTTCGCGATATTTCAACTAACGAGATAGAAAACGAGATAGAGGGAAAAGGAGAGGAAGAGAGAGAGGATGGGAAAAAGAAAGAATAAAAACGAGTTGGACGATTTTTGAGTGACGGTAAATGACGGTACTTGCAATGGATAAGGTTGCAAGTTCTACGACAAGAATAAGATTCTTTAAATCTTACGGATTTTAATATTACTTTATAAAGCTTTAAATCGTTTTCTTTGATTTTAAATCTTAAATAAGTCAGTTTTAAGAAACTCTTACTTTTATTAGACGATCGATTACTTTCAAATATTTATAAAGTCGGTAATTATCTTTGAAATCATTTAAATTTGACCGTAGACATTTACGTTGTCTATTTAATCTCTAGAAATATCTATTATCACGGTGTTGATTCAACGATAGATGAATGTAATATAACGGGAAGGGAACTTTGTACCATACGCGAATATAACTTTCTCGTCTGATGGTCTCGAAACGTAATAATACACATTTCCTTGTCGTTAATCCGTCGTGTGTCTGGTCGTGACGCTCGTAATCGAGCGTGTATACGACGACGAGACGCTTGTACACGCAACTACAATTATTATCGTGAGATACCTCGTTGTAGCAAGCTACCGTGGTATCAGAGAATCTCTCTCAACGACACAATTTACCAACGGACCCTTCCCGACTTCGAATCAACATCCTTCGTCTTTCTTTTCTTTCCAATATCGTCTTTTACGATCAATCCTTTTTTCAATCCAATTTGCAATTTATTCACCTAAAATTGGCACTTAAGGATATCTTCTATTTGTTATTTGTTTCTTGATAGGATGATCCAGGATAGTAAATTCGATTCAAAAATAAAGGACGAAAAAATACGTCTATTATTATGGGAGCGATCGATCGTTTTCTAAAAAAGTATAATATTACGATCAGTATTTTTACATTTCTAATAATGTCTCGGAAATATAAATATAACAGATTATTAAATAATGTAACATTCGTATATTTATTTTACGAAGAATATTTCTTTTCAGTATCGTCAATTTATTAACGTATTTTTTAAGATAAATGATTTACCAAGTTAACTTTCCTTTCACTCAGCTCATTAAGGAAACTCCATCATAATATAATTATGCTTTACCTGTCAACGTAGTTAAGAACTCATGTTATTTATTGAAACTATAAATTGTGCACGTCAGATACACCGAGTTCACAATTTGTTATCGATAGACGCGATTAGAGTTAACTGAGTGTTTAAAAAAAAAAAAACGCAGTCTGAATTACCGTCCGCAATAACCGATCCAACTCGATACTTATTGTTAGACATATTTAATATTTAATTAATAACGGAGGAGAAATCGTTAATCTGTTTTTAACTAATTAAAAATTCATGTTTTCATAATAAAACTCTGGCATTTCATATAACAAAAAGGATCCTTAATTGAGAAAATTTCATTCTGTTTAATTAATATATTTAAATGAACATACATGTTCATTTTCATTTCAATTAGAGACGGTTTACGTTAAAAACTATTTTAAAAGAATTTCAATACGATGATACTTTAATTGTCCTAATATGACTGATACTTCAAAATATACGTTAATTGGCCAATCAAGGACAATCTTACAATTAGTATTGAAAGCTATTATATGCTAAAGTACACTATAATATACTTCCATAATCAAAAGTCGATCCACGTTTTATCCTTTATTTTAATATCAAATTATTTCATAGTTATCATCGTTATATCGATTTTCTGCTCTATAAAGATCGATGTTCCTTCACTAAAATGTATTAAAAATTAAAATATAATTTCTTATATTTTCTAAAAAAGAGAAAGGAATTGCGTTAATTGCGTTCCGAGAAGTTCGCAAAAATATTTAATTATAGTCCTTTATGACGATAACTTTATCCATTCGATAAAGGAAAACGTATCTGCCTATACATAGAATTAATGATAAAAATCTTACAGGCGATTGAAACAAATTCAATCGGCCAATTAATTAAAATAACTTATAGATGAAGGAACATATGGACGTAAAATAAAACTATAATAGAGTGCGTGCGAGCGAGCATGCGTGCGTGAGAGAGAGACAGAGAAAAGAGACTCTGTGTTTTTTCGCCAATACACACAACACACACACACAACACACACACACAACACACATACACACACAAACACTAATATACCCTGTGGATATAAAAAAAAAACGATAATTTTACCATGAAACGTTGTACAATATTAGTTTTAATCGTGTGTAATACTTCGTAGAGCGTGTAGTTTTCTAAGTGTCTGCTCGCTGAACGATTACGTAAATCGTGTGTCCTAATTGTCGTCGTTGAAACATTGCCTAATCAATTCTATTGTTGCGCTTAGAAGACGAAGGAAAAGGAAAAAAAAAAGTGATAACGTAACGTAAACCGTGAAAAATGAAAAAGAACCAATGTAAAAGAAAAAGAAAAAAAAAATTTTACGTACGCGTCGAGACATTAAAAAATTGTTGTAACGTGTCTCGTCGAATATACGAATGTGTGTTCCGAATTAATCCTTGTGTTAGTTGCGGACAAGGTTAGTAGTGCGTCATGCCGAAAGAGCGATACGAGTGGACGCGTTTCTGTGGATCAGTCGTGTCCAACTGAGTTTGTCTCAATCGATTAATAATAATAATAATAATTATTAATAATAATTATATATATATATATATATATTATATTAATTATTACGAACGAGGTCATGCGCGAATGGGTGATTTACTCGTCAAAGGATATTTTCGTATCTCGTACGGTCTCTTGTTGCAGTAATGTACAGGATAAAAACACTTTATACATGCTTTTATCGAAAGCGTAAAGTCAGAATGATTAATATGAATGTAAATGATTTATATTTACGTTTTACGGCGTAGATAACGATCTTTAATAGGAAATGTAACATTGATATTTACTTTTCCGCCATATTTAAACGTGAATATAGGAAAGAAAAAGACATTAAACGAAACCGATTTTAGCCGATAGTTTTCGGTATTAATTCTTACGATTCTTATATCGAAAAATATCTTTTATGTCAATTTTTAGTAATGTTGCCATCATTACTAATACTTACTTTTATTAATTATTATAATACGTAATCGTGTTCATCGTCATCATCATCATCATCATCATCATTGATGTCACTGTCATTATAATTCCAACATTTTTACGTTACATTGTTACTATGTCATTTTTTCACATTTATTTATACAAATGTTTATACTACATTATCTTTTGATAAAAAAAAAAAAAACTTGTTTTTGTAAGAGAGAACGATGTCGAATTGTGTAGAATTCAGTATATAATTTTTAAGTCGAATATAATTTTTAGGTACTGTAAGGAAGGCGCTGTATATATTATACATATTTTATAAATAAAATATTTAGTGTAACTGTAATATTACGATACTGTACTGAAGGCACTGTTCTGTACACACCACTACATAGATTAAAATTTTAATAAATATTTCCCAACCCTATATATACAGTCGATCTTACAACGATTGATTTTTTAAACACTTTTCTAACCTTTTAATATTTATCTAGAAAAGATAGAAAATTGTTTATATCTTACAGAATATATTTACTCGATTAAACAAAAAAAAAAATAACTATAATTCTCGCGGTCTCCGCACGTCGTTTGAAAATAATATTAAAATATATTTTAATGGGGTTTAGCAGGTCCCACAATTTTGTCCTCTTTAATAATAATTCGCTTATGTTTCGATAATGCATCAGCACCATATTTCGCCATTAATTCATCGACAAATTGATCCTTTAATTTCTTTAAACACCTGAAAAGTAAAAAACTATCATACTATAGATAATTTATTTATTAAATGCATTCCAGATCATTTTAACAAGATATCATGGCTCCAACGTAATTTGCGATACCTATTGAAAATAAGTATTTAAATATTATCGAAGTCACCATGTTTTAAGATTTGAAGAATTGTAACAATCGTATTTAAGAAACAATATAATTAAATTCATATCACCTTCTATAAATAGAGTCTGTTCTAAATTTCCCGATGTCTAAACTTGGAGCGTGTGGTCGATGAATAATGAAGCTGTCCGGTAGAACAATATACCTATATAAAATGTTGATTCTTTACGTGTTCTTTATCATACGTTACAGGCAAAAGACAATCTATTAAATTACATAACGCGTAGGTCTCGAAAAATTGTCTCGTTAAGTTACACAAAGGTTAATAGTATATTCTCTTATTAAAGACAATTATCTTACTTAAAATCGAGTGCTGTAAGATGAGTGATGTAAGAAACTTTATTCCATCCAAATCCAATGAATCGCGTATCGTATTTAGGCGCAAATTGGGAAACCACGATGTAAGGTTCGAAATCAGGTTCCCAAAATATCTAAAATAATATTCAATGAAGATTACGATTTTCTGATAAATTTTACAAAACCTACTTCATAAGGTTCAGTTGCATTTCTCCATAAACTAAAATTCGTTGCTGCATGCCCTTGAGTCCAAACATGATAACGAAACGTATAGAGAATACCTCGTTTGAGAAATTTCAAGAGTTCTTCCTTGTCAGCAGGAAACGTAAACCTGAAATAAAAGTAAAACCATTACCTTATTGAATTTTACTCATTGATGTTAATTAAATGCAAAATTACCTATATCGTTCGGTTTCAAAAGCAGGCACGATTAAAGCTATTTTGTGAGTTGTCTCCATGTGTAAATTTTTAATATGCTTCATAATGTTTTCGTAAAGGCCGTATTGTGGTAAAAAGTCAACGTCAAGTTGAAATACATAAGGCGTCGATACGTACGACATAGCTATATTTCTTAAGTAATTAATTGGATAAAGTTCCTAAATAAAGAAAATATGTTTAAGATGTTTTTATTAAGCTTTGAATATTAATTGAATGGATATTGAAATGGCAAAGAGAAAAGTGAAAAGTTTCGATAATATTGAAGAAGTAAATGAATAATATTAATATTTATACCCCTTCTTTATACACAATGTGATAGGCAATATTTTTCCTTTTTCGCAATTCCGGGGATCCACGTACATATACCAAAAAATTTTGTACTTCGGCATCGGTAAGATAAAGTGCTACACTTATTGTTCCCGGCCAATGTTTCGAAAGTTGTTCTAAAAGAGGCACTCGTTCTATACTGCATTGAGTGGCTAATACAATGTCTGTAGACATATATACATTATATTGATATTCGAGAATAAAATAATGCGTTCTGTACATCATCCTTGCAGCTTTGTTAAATTCTCGACAAGGATCTGATTCGTCATACTATAAAACGAGAGGCGAGCGAACGTAAGAATAATATAAATTTTCATCGAATTTTCAGATAAAAGAACTTACTATCAAAATATTTGTACGTTTATCACAACCAAATAAGCGTTTTCGTAAAAGATTCCCATCCATCTCTAAGAACATCCTATGCAATTTAAGGAATTGATCTGCGTGCTTATTATTTACATCCTGCTTCCGAGGTGAATTCCAATGAATTATCTGAAAGGATAGATTGATCAAAGTTACACTAGATCATTTAAAAGAAATATCACAACAACGTACATTTAATTGATCTCCTCTTTGATAACAAGATTCGCTGGTGGTATGATCACTAAGTTGGACGTTCCAGGTACAATCTATCTTAAAAATAATATCCGGATGCTCTTTAATAACGGCATTTATTATATCTTGATCGGCCAAACTGGTCTCCTTTATATAATTTAAGATCCCCTTTGTGGTGTTCACCCACAATTCTTTAAATCTTCTAGCGCGCAATCGTTGTAAATGCATCAGCATAACGCCGCTATTGAAGCCTCTACCTAATGCTGGCCAAGGTTGTTGACCGTACGACAAGGACTTTAGATACCACCTACTTTGATTTTCCGCTAAGCCTAACGTTTGATTAGGCGTGAATTTCTCGAAGACTTTCCAAAGGACACTCACGTCGTTTAAGATGGTCACGTCAGTATCAAGGATGAGAACCTTACTCTCATCTAACGCCTCAGGTAATATTAATTTTAATAGGCCGTAAACTCCGGAATAATGTCTGTTTGGTATCCATGATACCTTCGGCACCCATCGTTCGGCAGGATAATATGATACTATGACTGTAATCGTTAAAGAAATTACTATTAGATTTTCATTAGAAAAGTTTATTGCTCTTTGTAATTGTAAGAATCTTCAATCATGGCTCGGACTATAATTGAGTAGATCATTTTAGAAATTAATCTTCTTTCGTCTATCTTAAATATTCTATCTAACAAAAGAAGCAAACCGATTTATTATATATAAATCAATTTTTATATATTTCTTTTTATTTCAATCTAATTAGAAAATTATATATAGACGGAAAAATATATACGAACGATCTAATCATGACTACAGCCTTCACCTTAACATAAAAATTTCGCGTATTGCGATAATGAACGTTTACTGACCACTTGGCAAATCCCATGTTTTAAATAATGTAGTGAGTGTTCTTTTTGCTATTTCATCTACGAGCAAGTGAAAGTGCAGTGGTTTTGTACGATGATACAAGATCGACTTTACTACCGTAACCAATGAAAATGTTGAATTATATCCGGCACATACCATGGCAATGTGTATGAATTCACACTTAACCTTGAAACAAACTATATTTAACTGCTATGGGTTAAATTATTGGAAAATTATTTGTTTTGATGACCCTTTACACTCGGTTCGTGCTATTTTCTATGTAAAATATCTTGAAAATTTAGAATTTTTTAATCTAATCAGAATTCTAATGGTGTTGTACTTATAATAATATATTACTCATATGATCAATTAAAAATTACGATAAAAATGAATATTGCGTGAAAATTTCATATCAAAATTTCGATCTATAATTAATTTCGCATTCGAAATAGTCTAAAATTGATTTCTACCTACTACGTGCTATTTATGTTGATAATGTCGAGTGCAAAGGGTTCCAATTTTTACCAATTTACCTCCGAGGTTCTATTTGATAATTGAACTTTCATAGTCGATTCTCGTAAATTCTTCTTATTTACATCGACCGATAACGATTGCATTTTTCCTTGCTTTATTGGAATGCCGCTCTCCGCAACAGGAACTGTAACGTTATAATAAAACATCCGTGTGCATCCTAAGATATTGACTCAATATGGTAAGTTAAAAACCATGATATGTATTACCATTAAAAAACAAATATAGGTAGAAAATTATTAATACTATTAGAATGCCAAATAAACATCCTAACCATGATCGAGCCATTGTAGTATGCCAAACATATTTAACGCTACGTCCTATGATGTTGAATAACTTAATTTTAGAAGAATTCTTTTGATATCTGTAGAAAAAAATCGTTCATAAAATAGAGAAAAAATTAGTTATTTATATTTGTAAATGTTATAAATCAATGATATAATAAAAATGATATAGAAATATAATATTTTAACGCATATAAAGTTACTAATTCTTCTTACGATCTTCCGCATATAAAAAAACTTATAAAAACTTTGTAAACAAATATAAATAAATGTAAAATATAAATAAAATAAATGTAACTAAATTTATCATTAGATATATATATATATATATATATATATATATATATATATATACATGTATACATATGTATCTATTCATATATATATATACATATATGTGTATATATACATATGGATATATGAATATATAAATATGTATATATGTGTATATGAATATATAAATATGTATATATACGTATGTATAAATACATATATATATTTATATATATATATATATATATATATATATACATATGTATATACACAATGAATATATACATATGTATATACATATACACACATATTTATAACACCGATGTTATATTTGCCGGCTACATATGTCGTGAAACTTTTGTTTGATCTATATATAGTACTGACTACTTTGTGCCAAGATCGGCGGGATATATAGCTTTGACAGCGGACTGTGACATTATTCGACACGCGCTACGGATAACAATTCTAACATAACAAAATTAAACTGACACCGATTATCGATAGTAAGTTGGTTTATTACATACCCGTCGCTATAACCAGGATTTATTAGTTCGTTGTCATCCAAATTATCTCATAAGTTCGATGAATGTTTTGAACAAAAGTTGTAACGTTTTATTCGAAAATTTTTACCACGCAAAATATAATAACACTCATAATTCGTAACCGGCCACCGCAAGTGTACATTTATATTTTAACATGCAACACGGTTCGTATACACAATGTGTGTCACAAATGAAATAAATTGCCGTAATTACTCGTAACAATGAACAACCGTGAAATAACGTGCATCCTAAACAGCTCGAGAGTGAGAGAGAGCAGGAAGCCCGACGTAAATAGTTTAATCATTGACTACCGGAATAGTAGAGCGAATACTACATTTAAAATACGTTTGATCTCGACTACTAACTCGGTCGATAATTCCACTTTCTTCTGATACATTATACGGCCGATAGGAGGTGAGAATTATATCACCGATAAAAACATGGTAATGATGATTATTTCAAAAATGATATAAAAAATATGATATCATCTTTGATATATTTTTTATTGTTTTCATATTCTCTTTATTAATAAGAATTTATAATCTATTATATTGTCGCAACAATCTACATAATTTACAATATTACATATGAATTATAAATTAAAAAACCTATTTATATACATATATGTATATCTAATTCTAGATTCGTCGGAGATCTATTTGCAATAAAAAAAGAAAAAAGTAAAAAAAAAAGACATTACGATCGGTGGTTGTCTAAATTGTGTTCTTGTGATTTTCTTTTTCTTTTTTTTTTTTTTTTTTTTTTAATTTAAAAATATATAGCTCTTAGAAAAAACTACAGTTTGTATTTGTGATATGTATTATTATAATTATAATGAAAAATGGTCATGTTAATTTTATGAAATAAATGTTATCGTGTATGAATATTAGAACTGTTATATCAATATTCTAATTCGCTTTAAATTCAATGAATAATTGTTAAGAATGAATTGTTACGAAAGAGCGAATAATATAATGCAAATTCGAAAGATGCGCTGACCTGGTGCAATGATAGGCGATATTGAAAATTATTCGTTTTAATTAATTTCAGTAGCTTTACTCGGATATGTACTGGAATCATCGTCTTCGTCAATCTTTCTGAGTCGTTGGAGTTCTAAAGTACGTGTTCTGAAAAATCCATTAACATGGAATGACGATAATTTTTTAAAAATTTGATTACGTAGATTTCAAAAATATATTTATATACCTTCCAAATGACTCATCTCGCTCTCGTTCTTCTTTGCGTTGCCTAAGAACTCTTGATGCAACGCAAATTATTATGAGTACAATGGGAATTATACTAGCAAGTACTATACCAGTTGTGATACCAGCTTGTCGGGAACTGTATTCCTGTTGACCTATATGGTGGAAAAAAAAAGAAAAAGAAAAAAAAAAAGAAACATTTACTTTATATTACTCTTCGTGACCAGCCCAATTTCAAATAGAAGTTAACTTTGACGAAAAGACCTGAAATAAAGAAGTTAGAGAAAGAACAGGATCGAGGATAAGGGAAAGTTTGCAAAGACTTTGGTGGAAACTTCCATTCCACTTGGAATTGTTTGTGAGTAACTTTTACGTACTGTTCTATATTGATAATCTGTAAATGCATGTGGAATAGAAATTTCCTGAATGTATAAAGGTCTATAAAAAATTTATTAAGATATATTTTATACACCATCTAAAAGAGCTGACATTATTTTTTTACAATTGCTCAGTTAAATAATAAAATGTTTGATGCGTCTCATTTTATTTGCTAAATCGTACAAATCGTAATTGTATACCATGTGTGATAAAATTTTTAAATATAATATAGTATACCTTTTTTGCATTTCTATTCCACAGCACATACAAATTTATTATTTTCTAATTATTTCTAATTATAGAAAAGATAGTAAGATGTTACAATATAGATATATAAGAGAAGGAGATTTAGCGACGCACTGAAATTTGTTATGATATTGAAAAACTATGGAAAAAAAATGAACAAAGAGAATATTATGAAATGGAAATGCTTTAAAATACTAAATACAAATATTACTTTCAGTCCCTCGAACGAAATATTCGGTGAATATAAATTTTATTTATTTTTCACATTCTCGTCGATATAGTCTCTAATAAAATTAAACACGAATGATATAGAAAAGTTCACACATCACTTTCTCTCGTAGGACTTCCAGTTTTTTTAATGGAATCTACGGTCAACTCAGATTCGGTTGGTGAGACGGGTTCTTTAAGATCCCAATCTTTTTCTTCAAAATCGATATAAGGCCTGTCCGGTAATGGTTCGTGTGTATGATAAACCCTGTCATAAGAACGTGGTTTTTTCATACCACTTAGTGAGCTTAGACTACTATCGCTAATTGGTGAAATTGCTCTATCGTCCATTTTTAAAGGGACAGTTTGTTTCATCAACATAGAATCGTTATCTATTCCCGAGCTACGTTCGGAATAACGCCAAGATTTAGTCGAATCTCCATTAGATCTATTCTTTCTCATATAAACAAAGGCAAGACCGACACATATTGTAGCAGGGATTAATATTGCCGCTATAATACCAAAGGTTGTCCATGCAGTACGTTGACTATATTCGATTTGACCTACGTGTTTTAATTATATTAAAAAATTTGTATTAACTTTATTTAATTAAGTATTTTATCGCCAAGCAATAATATTATTTCTACATTGAAACTCCTCGAACGTTTACTTTTCTTTGATATTTATAGTGGATTTGGAATTTTAGGGATTCGAAAACATAAAAAGGAATTGATAAAAATAAAAATACTTACGGAGACATTCGGTGTATCCATACTCCGGAATGTTCCATCGTCCTTCCGGCGTACATTCTCGACGTTGATCTCCAACGAGTATAAAATCTTGGTTACATTCGAAGCTTACTTTGGCACCGGGTATAAACAGAAAATTGCTTTTGCGCCCGAAACGTGGTGTTTCCAATATACCACAGGATATAACTAAAGAATAAAACTGCTGTAAAGATCTTTAATCAAATTTAAAATCACGAATTTTTTCTACTTTTTTACTTACTCCTCTTATCGTTTATTGCCTTTATTTGCGTGTAGGTATCGTAATAAGTTCTCGTGAAGTGTGCGAAATCCCGATTGAGTGTCATCGCGTAATCATACTTGCATTGATACGAATCTCCGCACAAAGCGTTCGCTCGATTTCGATCTTCCGTTCTGAAAGAAATAATAAAATTTGTTATTCAACTTAATTTTTTCTCCGACTTCGAATATAATTTTTAATTCGAAAAATTAAGTACTCTATCCCTTTTAACATTCTGTTTCCATTTAAATATAATATTTGAAATGTACCTCACCTATTAGCCGGTAATATTTCTTCGGGCGTTCGATGAAATTCTGCTTGGAATTTTCGATTGGCAAAAAAGGTCGCAGTCCTACCAAACTCCCTTGTGAACAAAGCAGCCCCTTTATCGTCCGTTTCCTTGTCCTCCAATAGCCAATTCATCGCAAAGTTCTTATGAACTTCTTCAAAATTGTTTAAATTGCCTACGGATGCTAATTGACCGTCCGGATTCGTGAAATCATCAGTAATATCGTGACTCCAATTTCCAAACAATCCCCTGGTTTTATTCTATAATTGATCCATTGATTATCTTGTAATAATCGTAAATCCAAAAGGTATTACAATAGTCAATATAAATTTTAAATTACCATATATGACCAGGGAAGATAAACTCTGGCTGACATGAATCCTTCATTTTCTATAACTTCGACACCAGCACCGGTGTCCATCATTATGATAACTTCGCTCTGATTTAAGATATATGTCGGAGTATATACAACTACACCGGAAAAATGTTGAAACTTTAAGGATGGTCTATCGAAATAGACGCGTTGCTTATCTGCAAAAACGTCTAAACGGTACCTCCATTGAGAGTGTTTTTGTCGTAGCCGTACCTCGATAATAGCGGTATTATTTCCCATCACTCGTGTAAACGTGAAAAGAAAAACAAAGTTAGATTGTATTTACGAGTAATGTAAAAAAACATGATATAATATAATAAATTTCAGATTCTATTCATTTGGAAGATTTTGTTAATATAAAAAAAAAAATATTACCTGCAATCGATGTCAATTTAGTGGCATTAACAGCTCCGTAATAATTTCTTTCAACTTGTTCAAACCTAGCTTGAACATTGAGTTTGTCTCTCAATTGATCCACTCGTAGTAATACGAATTCTCCCATTCCATTAAACGTGTATTCCAACCCATCAAACGTAACAATGTGTGGATCACCGAATACCGTTGCAATGGCCGGAGACTGATAAGCGATGCAGTCCTGCGAAGGACGTCTCTCGAATCTAAACGTTTCACATCCGACTGCCTGTTCCTCTTGCCACAGACAACACAAATACATAGGGACCATGTCGTGAAACCACTGTGAGAGAGTTGGTACTTTGTTAGCTTCATTCCACGGAAAATATCCCAAATTATGCGCACGACGTGGTCGCGAACCCCATTGCTGATCATATGTAAGCATCAAATAACCATTTTTGTCATAGCAACATTGTTGTTCCGAGCCATACAAACTGAAAAATAAAATGCACGAACCTTAATAATTTATTAAATTTTATAATGCCATTTGTGAATATTTATTTTTATAATTATTGGTCGTAAAATGATTACATATTAAAAATATATTGTGTAATTTTTTCAAAACTTAAGAAACTCAATAACAAGTTTTGACGTTACTCACTTTGGTGCACCAGTCCTCACGCAATGACTCGCATGACTGTTGTAATAGCAATCGGGATTTGAGTCCTTATCGCAATCGAAGTCTGGCATAAATCGTCCTTTATCGTAGAGAGCATGATTCAGGGTGCAAGGACATAATGCAATTTCAGCAGCAAAATTTTTCAAATATCTATCATTCATAATCCACTTATCACACATTCTTTGTGGCCAACGAGATCCGTATAGTCTTTCCCATTGTGGACCAAAATACCAAGCAATTGGAATCGGTTTACTCCATAAAACTCTAAAAGAATTGCGTCGATTCAGTATTAACAAATGATTTTATCGAAAATTATTTTTTCATTTCATACTTACGGTGAAATATTAATTCCAGAATACTGAGCCGGATCTGTTAGATTTATCTTTATAAAGCCGAACACAATATCTTGTTCGTCAGGATTGTACTTATCACGATAATTCGCTGGTCTGATTATATAAGATCCTGTATTAGTATGTGATACCTGAAAATTAAATTGAAAAGTAAAGACTTTAAAAATTTTTATACATATTATCATATTCAATAAGCGAAAGAAAAATACTTCAAGATCAGTAATGAATTTTAACTCAGGAGTAGTCTTCGTTTCTCTGTAACCCCATAATGATATCTGAACACCTGCGTTCAAATTGCTCGTCAAGTTGTATTGGTTCCACGTTATCTTTATTTCCGCTGGATCAAGTTCATGAACGGCTGTCGTAGTGAAAGAAATTTTTTCGGCAGCAGTAGCAGGTGTCTCTGCATAATATCATATCAAAAATTTATTAAAACGAACGAAAGACATTTAATGATCGAACTATAACTCGACTCACCAACGAAATATTTTCCTTTCCAATTATACTTTCCGCTATTACCAATAGCTACTTCCAAGCGAACGTAACCTTCTGCTTGTACGAATGGTTGAACGCAAATAGCACGATTTCTGTCTATGACATGACCGATCACCGTGACCGTATCGAACAGACACCTGACTTTCTCGGTCTCATTGAAGCAAGGTCCTGTGATATTGACTACCGTACCACCCAACATGTTTCCGCTTTCAGGAGCGAATACAAGAGGCAAGTTAGTACCAGCTATACGAAACAACAAATGATATAAATAAAGAATTTTGATACGGATGAAATATTTTTCTTATTTACTATTTTTCCTGACCTATATCTTTATTACAAGAACCCAACATTATTTTCTCGTCTATTCTAAAAATGTGACGGCCTGGAAAACCATTGCCCCATCCTCTACCCGTTAAGTCTCGTAAAGTGGACGTTTGAGAATAAGGTTTGTACTCGTAGCTTTGTGTACCATTACCGGCATTGAATCCAATCTAAAGAAACATGATATTGAAACGTCTTTTCAGAAAAGTAAATTAACATTTTATTACTTACAAATGCAGGTACTCCACCCTCTCCAGCATAGTTGTCACCACCAGCTGATGTGTGAGCGGACCATTGAATATTCAGATAATTGAATATCGCATACGTGTGAACTTCATCCGTAGCTAGAACCATTTGAAAGGTATTCGTTTTATAGAGAGCATTATCAAGGCCACCGACGAAGGAAATGTTTTTCCAGGTGACAAGAACGACATGCTTTGGATCGAACGAATCTGAACCCACGACACCTTCACGAATATCCCACTTGACTCGTTCTCTCATTTCAACGCCAAATTGATCCGTCCTTCTCTGCAGATCTCTCTCGAGTCTGAAACCAGATCAATCCCAAAAACGTTGAAGATGGTTGCGAATTGATAATTTTATGATTTTTCTCATATAAATGAATGATATCGTTTATTTTACCGAAAATATACACCAGGTCTTCTTTTATCGATATCGTTTGGTCCAAGTTTTCCTATGCGACATTGACTGAAAAATATCCCAATAAAACTTGGATCGTTTTTTTCGGGCCAATCCTTGATTGGAAAGACCAAAGGATGCGTATAGTAATCTGGAGGATCACTAAACTCTAAGAAACCATTGACGGTTACCTAAAATATGAAAATTATACCATTCATAGATAATTTCTTATCACGAAAAGGTATTATATCGTAAAAAAGAGATTTGAAATTTATCGAACCCTGGTGTAATTGAATCGAAATCCGAAAAAAGGAAGTTGAAAATTCAAATTCTTGTGAATGATCACCGTGGATGCATGAATATCCGTTTGATAATCTCCATGTTCACTTTCACCTCCTAAGTCAAAATACCAATACATGAATTCCGATCGAATTTCTTTCAATCTCGATTCAAGAAGAACATAATCGGGAACTGAGTCATCAGATCGAGGTGCATATCTGTAGGCATTCGGTGAATCTGAATCTGTAAACATAAATTAATGACACGTTGCAAGGTCATACTACTATTAATCTCAGAATTTGTCTCAGGCGAATAATTACTATTTTATTTGTTGAAATTTATTTATTCTTAATTTTTTTATAGAGATACCTGTATCAAAAATGCCATTTTATCATGTTGAACAGAACTTGGACAAAGAAACCAATTAATTTACTTCATGTCGTACTAGAGAAGGTATTAAATATCGAAGAATCAATAAACATGATGAAAGATTGTATGCTTCGAAGAATGCTTTATCTCGTATTATTGGCTCTCTCATAAATCGATTTCATCAATCGAATAAAATAACATTTGAACGAGTAGTGATTTTTTAAAAATAACGAATCTTTACAATGTTTCTCAAAGTACACTTTCGTACTTACGAAACAACATAAAACAACGAACGACCCAAATGAATCACCCTTTGATTCACGTTAAAATGAGTAACTGATAAGGGATACGATAAGCTACGATACGACTGTCTTAGCTTTTCAGCAAATAATACCAGCTCCAATGCGATCGGTCACGACGCGTTTTTATCATTTCGAATGGCTTTCGGATGAAAAAAAGAAAAGTAACTTTTTAAAAGGGGAAAATAAAAAAATAGTAAAAGGAAAGAGATCAGAAAAAGATAAAGGATCATTTGATTCGTTTGTAGCACTTGGTGCCTCCATTTTTTATACTTTTATTTCAAGAGTAGGGTCACGCCCATCGATAATAAATTACTCACCATATCGCACATATTTTCCCATTCTTTCATCAACAGTCCTACCGGAAATGTTCCCTATATTTTGTTCAACTTCTTTTTTCGAATCTTGAGGATCAGATTTAAAAAGTTCCGTTTCCGTGTCAGACTTTTCCCGAATCGTTCCGATTTTTTTCTTATCTGTTTCCGCAAGATCCTCCAATTCCAAAGGAACCGATTCCTTATTTTCCGTCAAAGCTACATTATCTTTGTTTTCTGTTTGTTCTGGCACATTCAATCCGAAAGCACTCTCGAAAGTCTCCTTTTCTGTTTGAGCATCGATTCCATTTAACGATATCGCGGAAATATAGAGAAGAAGAATCGCTCTCATTGTTAATTTGCAAGGGTAAAAAATACCCCTCGATGTTCGTTCCCGCATTTTTTGGCGAGCACAGGTTTACGGATAAAATAGTCTACTAAGCGAGACGATACTGGACTGAGATTCACAGGTAACAAGTTATGATAACGTTCTTGATATCATCGACTCTTCTATGATAACGTACAGTTATCTTACTACGAACAGATACGTACGTGTCGTTTAAACCGAGAAAAAGGAAGGGATCGGTATGTCCTACTTATCGTTGAAAGGGAAAATCATGACAAAATTTTTTTTTTTCTTAAATTGGTTTTTTGACGATAATTCATTAGATCATATTGTAAAAATGTTTAATATAATCTTTAGTCCTTTTTTAAATATCTTTGAGAAATTGCAATATTTCGGTGTACGTTCTAAAAATTATTGTACATATATCGAATTTCCATGGTTGTCTTCTAATCATACTTAAAATATTTTTCTTCTGTTATCTCCTAATACTACAGATACAAATATCTATGTTTAGATCGTGATAAATTAATGAATATACCAGTGAATTATCAGACGAGGTATTTATTTAAATGCCTGAAATTATATAATATTTACAAAAAGAAAAATCTGTATGTACGATCGATTTGGAAAAGTACCAAAGTTTTGTTTTATTCTTTGCAGGTAACGAGTTTTACAATAAAACGTGTAGTATGCATTGACGAACACATACGTACATAATCGGTAAAGATTCGTCGATCGCTAAGAGTGATCTTGTTAATAACATTGTTTACTATCCGAAAAAAATAATGAATACGTAAATCTATAGTCCCTGTAAGTTAAGTGATTTGAGACGGACTTTCGTTAACAATACGGTCTACAATGAAATCGCGAATTAATTGGAGATTGAATGGAGCAAGTTATTTGTATGTGCTATGCGTAAAGAAGTACTCAGGATTAAAATGTAACGTACTACAAATGCATTTTTGTATAATAAATACATCTACCGACAGTAGATCGTTACATCTAAGCACGCTACAAAGTTGACACGTTGCGTTATCACCGCCCAACTCTCGAAGTATCCTTTCCGCAGCTTACCAAAGTAGTCAAGGAATCTATAAAAGTCTTAAAAATAGAAGGAAATGCGAGTCATTTTTGTACTGCAACTGTATCTTCTATATCAATATTCTCACAAATGTTTATAAAGAAGCTATATTACATTTTCTTTTGTGTTGCACGATATGATAAACATCTTTTTTTTTTCTTTTTTTTTTTTTTTTTTTTTTTTTTTTTTTGACCGATTCTATGTATCACAGAACAAAGCTACGAAAATTGCATGAATTAAAGGATAGAAAAAAAATTCACAAATTTAAACAAAATGCACCTAGATTTGCGTATCAGTCGATGATATCTGTAATCTACAATATTGATCTCTGAATGTTATAACGTGGATATGAACTAGATGCCCGATCAGTAAGTGAAAGGATCTTTTGTAATATTTTATTTGTAATGCAATGAAATAATCTGTTGCAATTGCGATGGAGCAAGTTTAACATTACGAAGAGGAAGAGTTATCCCCATTACTGTCCATATATCCTCCAGAACCATTTACGACAAATGACGTTCCCAAACCGTATAAATGACCACAATATTTTGCATCGTCGATGTTGTCCTCGAAAAACATCTAAAATTGTCAATAACAAAGAATACACATAAATATGGTTTTTCTAAAAAGGAAATTTTGATATTAAAATTTAATCCTTTTGAAACTATAATCGTACCTCTCGCATTTTAAAAAAGACCATTCCAGTTAGAAGAGAATCTGACCCAGCTTGATGCTGTGGACCGACTCTTTGTATTTCCAATTGTTCCGCTACTTCTTGAAGACCGCCTTTCAAATTTTTGCAGGATTTCATTAAGTACTGCATAGAAAAATAAATTAGTTATTCGAAGAATTCAATATTAATTATTAGAAAGTATAATTCTACTTACTTTTACATCATATATGGTTGGAAAATATATCCTAAGAAGTTCGAAAAATTCACTCTCTTCCTGTGGCAAGTTCTGATCAGTAAGTAGTTTTAATAGATATCCAAAATCGTAACCAGAATGAAAAGATAGCCATTTAATATCGTCGACAAGAACAATCCCTGATGTCATTAACAGTTCAGCAAAATCTAAAGGGTCGATACCCTCTTCTTCGTGTTTTTTAAATTGTATACCACTATTTTGTAGCATATCTATACTATCTTGTGCATACATATCTTCCCTAAAAGAGACATACATATGCGATTATTTCACAATTTCGTTTCTATAATTCAGTTCTATATAACATTAAATTCTTACTGTAAATTAAATTTGAAGTTGAACTGCCACGTTGTGTAACTACCACCTGGCGTATTCCCTGATTCATCGAGAAACGTGAGACCAAGTTGTATTATTCGCAAAAGGTCTACGTTACATCGTAGCAATTGATACTGATAATCGGCACTTGTTCTAAATTCGCCTTTTAAGATATTATACTTAAGATAAAATAATTTTTTCTTTTTTTGTAAATGCAGAGTCGTTTTTCATAATGTAACTATCTTACCAATAGGCCTTGCTACGACCCCAGGAAATTCTGTGTCCATTGCAATATATTGATATTGTTGCACGACTTGCCGAATTGTGCGAAATTCCTCTTCTAAATTGTGTCCCCAGACATCTCGAATTCCACATTCCTCATTACTGGGCATAGTCGCCCCACCCTTCTGCTGCCCAATAGGGTTAGACCCACCTATAAATTTGTTTAAATATATAATTCTTTTCTATATTTTATGTTAGCATCGAATTTCTTTTGTAATCAAATCAACTTGAAATATAAAAAGACTACTAATACTAAATAAATTTTACATAGCTCAAAATACTAGATTATTTACTTATCTATATAATGTATAAGGATATTTACAATGCTTTCTGAATTGCAAATACCTATATGACCAAGATAAGGTATATTCCTGGTTGGTATTGGTTACATGTAATTCTCTTACATATTATTGTTGCATATCATTATTTAAAAAAGCCTTGAGTGAGCATTAACTCTTGAAAGCATACTTATATTATTCATTAGTAATATATAACAAGGATAAAATCTATAGGCAACCACAAACCAACCACAAATTATCATCTTTTTCAGTCATAGTGAAATAAATGTACAAAAAAATGTTAAGGTTTATGAAGCCTATATAGCATTACATAATATCAAACTATATAACACAGATTCATGAATGTGCAAATAGCAACATAGTTGTCCAATATGTTATATATTTACTTTAATCTAATCTATAAGTTTTTCTATTGCTTTCCAGAAACTAAGATAATTTCATATATAACTGCACCTTCTAATGATTGTGCATTCTTCGTCGATTCTTTGTAAAGGCACACCTTTTTTTGCAGCGACTGATACTGCACATTTGCCAGGAGCTTCATTGTACATACTAATAGTTTACTATATTTAAAGAGATTTCTACTTCGCACATCTTCTGGAATGATGCTTGCAATTTCCACTCGATCCCAAAGTGCTTTACTTATATTGCTTCTTCACTCCTGGAATATGTATCCCCAATACTCATTATTTCGAGATTATATAGTTGTTCTTTTATTTCTGGCATTCTCCATAAAATCTATTACTAAGTAATTCTAAGTATTCAATTTTCAAGTGCAATACTCCTCAAGGCATTATTAAAAAATACCTCAGCTACATATTGTATCCAATATGATAATATAATATCTAATGTGAAGATGATATGCAAAACTGCTGTTGATATATGCAACATATTAGGCATTATTAATTATTTATATTTTACACACCGGTGGCTGAGGGCATAAGGTTAGATATGTTTGTCGTCACCAGGTCTACTCTTATCCACAATATCCTCCGTCACGGTCTTTCTTTCTTCATAGTACTGTACAAATAAAGTTATTGAATATTGATTGATGCATTAACTATAATAAAAAAGATTATCTGTATTTATTTTATCAGTCTCTTGATAAAATAAGTTGAGCAATAGTAGTTCATAATTCTTCAACAAACACAAAAATGTTGAGAAGGGATTATAACCAAACAAGCATTCATAACAGCACGATATAAAATGACCAGAAAACAGAAATAAATATAACATCAAATCAAAATCTAAATAAATTTACCGATGATAAGCAGGTTATGTATTGGAGAAGAATCAAGAATGATTATAAAGAGTTGAATATGAATCAAGTGTGAAGTATATTATACCTCTTCATATGTCCTTTTTATTGCACTATCGTTTACAAAATAATAAACTAAATGAAGTTTTATAATAGTTTTTAAACCTTTGAATCTTCTGTGACAGCATGAACAGGTTAAGCAAGTTTCCTACAATTTCCAAACTCAAAGCACTTTCAGTAGTGAATTATAAGCGCAGGTAGAGGCGCTGTAACTGCTAGTTACTTATCTATATTAGGAGATATAGATCTAGTTATTTTCTGAGAATTATCAAAAAAGTAAAGTATCATTATTTTATCCTAGATCGATCATTAAAATAATTACAAATTTTTTAGCAGTAACATAGAATATTATCATTATTCTTGAATTATACTACAAAAGATCGCCCTTTAAACAATTAAAATTGATAAGATTTATATATGGTTATCCGTGAACAATTACTATTAAAGATTGTATACTAACAAAACTTTTAATTACTATGAAGATTATACGTACATAAATGTAAATTTAATGGCAAATTAAAATTAAGTGACTTTTCTTCCTTCAATTTTACTTGACAGTGTTACGATAGTCTGTTTCGTGATACGATTTAGATTAACGATTCTTATATTTGAGATGCATATATAATAACAGCGAACACGAACTGTTTATTACTCGTATTTCGAATCGATTCGTTTCTAGTTATTACATCGTTTTTTGCTCAACGGACTTACTTCTTGAAAACGATTACTTGATAACCATTTCAGAAGCAGACAGAAACTTTGCAAATCTCATTGAGGACTTCGATCCTCGATCAAAAATTATAATTGCGCATTTATCTCTTTATCTCAGAGGCTACTCATTTTTACTCTAGCGGCATACATGGTTCTTACTAGGAATGAATCGGTCGGTAATAATAATCTACTCTGTGTTACCGACATATGTAAAGTTAAAAAAGGCACCAGATATTATCATTGAATTACGTTACAAAAGGTAATACAAATATAATATTTATCTACAGTAGAAATATAATTGTTGAAATACTAAATATTTTTTATCATTATTATTTAATGTTTATTTTCATAAAAAAATGAGAGAATATCATTATATTATATGTGATAGTTTATGTATTTGTAAATCTCATGAAATCAATAATTAATATATCCGATATGGGAAATATTACAGGTACACTTATCAATAAAATCATTATATTAATTACTTTTATGGAATAAAAAATATAAAAATAAATATAAGATTAATTTATGATAAAAAGAGTATAAAACTATTTTTGTTGTAATTTCATGATATTTTATTTAAGAATTATAAATAGGCGGAATACACACACACACACACAAGAATTGTTTAAATTCGGCGTCAAAACTATCGATTTTAAAATATGATCTACATTAAATAATGTGGAAATATGATTCGCGCATATGCATCTTGTTATTAATGTCAGTAATATAGATAATTGCTTCTATTTTACGTTTGTTTTGTAATATATATTATTTAAAAGCAATCATAGAAAAAATATGTTTACGTTCGATGTGTTTTATTCAATATCAGTAAGCAGTCAGATTAATATTGGTATTCATTGATTGACCTTGAATAATAAATCATTATAATAATAACTTAATAATTAATTCGTGGAAATCATTGTCTTCCGTTTCTCGTATTTTACATTATACAACAGTCTAATCTATTATCAATGATCATAATTGCAGATTAAAACTGCATGTTATACGTCGTCAATGTATATAAGGAAAAATAATATCATAAATTCTTAGTTAGTATATGTTTAGTTGATAATCTCATACTGTTTACAAAGCTTTCATGCACTTTATATAAGTGAGAAGATAACAACCTCAGATAACTACCTTACAGTCAGTTTGGTGATTGTATCCGTGGATTTCACATCTATTGAGGAGTTTCAGATCAAATAAGAAAACGTTTCAAGATGAAAACCATCAAGATGAAAGTATTAATACTTTGCTTATTCTTTATTTGTTCTTTTGTGTATGAAAGTTCAGCTCATCACACCGGTATGTATTTTTGATCTTTTTTCTTTTACGTAATAATTCGAAATATTTTATATTGAATATACGAATGAGCAACAAATTTATAATGTATGTTTTTCTACAAAATAAATTGTACTATATATATATATATATATATATATATATATATATATATATAGTAAAAATAAAATAATTTAATTATTTTTTATTTGTTTGACCCAAATCGGACAATCCGAAACATGTTAAATAAAGTTTTGAAGTTCTCGCAAAAATAATGGATTTCTTAAAAATAATATTTCTTAAATATTTATTAAAAAGATTTACGTATTTTTAATTACATATTTTTATCATTTGTTTCTCAACCGTATAATAAGTATAAATATATGTGTATATATATGTATTATAATGTCTGTTAGTTTGTCATCATCCGATCGAAACGGGCCCATGTAAAGCAGCCATACCGAGATGGGCATACGATGGATCAAAATGTACAGATTTCATTTACGGTGGATGCCAGGGTAATCCGAATAATTTTATGTCGAAGGAAGAGTGCGAAACAACTTGCATTGAGAAAAAAGAATAATAGTGGTATGCATACTTTATTCTTTTATCACTTACATTTAATAAAATACTTTCCATTTAAATGAATGATGTTGTATCATTATCAGTAACATCGTAAATCTTTTTAGGTTCGTCTGTTTGTTACTGCATGTTCTTGCCATTCTTATCTCTCGTAAATAATTTATACTTATTATATGGTTGAGAAACAAATGATAAAAATATGTACTTAAGAATATGTAAATCTTTTTAATAAATCTTAAGAAAGATTTTAAAAGTCAAGGAAATCAATATTAGCTGTGCGTTAAAATTTCCTCTTGCCTGTTAACAAGGATGCAAGAGGAATTCATTGGAGTCAAACACGACTCCGCCAAGCACATGTAACTATCTTGAATCTTTCCTTCCTGAACGTCGTACATCCTTCGCAAAGAAGCCAACTTGTTTGGCTCGCGCAGTCAGCCTCCTTACATGGGTATGCCTCGCTAACGATTAGATTGAATTAGGTTAGAAGTGAGATCCATTACCGCTACATCGCCTTATACTTGTCTTAGGGATCTAGACTCTTGACGTAAAGGAAAGAAAAACTATTCTCAGCATTCCTAACGCGGACGATTCACTTATCCGTTCGGAGGTTTATATGTCACGTCATAAATACAATCAAAGGCTTTATTTTGCCTGACATTTCTTCGTGCCAAGGAAAAGTTCTTTAAAACGAAAGCAAAACACATATACATATACAAATATACTCTCTCTCTCTATGTCTATACTTTCCATTGACACCAATTCTAAATTATGTCGACAATTTACGAACCAAGAATCTATTTAATATTACTATTTTAGATCGTTGCTACATGTAGGAAGGTATAATACGAATTTCGATTGTTCATATGTAATATATTTATCATGACTGTTATCTCACAATTTTTTTTTAAATTTCGCTAGAATTCGACGTCGTTACATTTCAAAAAATGATGTCACGCTAAACGTTTCTTTTTTTATCGTACTATGTTTCTTTCAATAGCTTTGATAAAAATAAGAAAACGATAGTGTGACATATTACATTTAACGTGCTCTTGTAACGTTAAATTTTTGTTATAATCGATAGATATACGGATAACACACGCAACGATAATTTACGTAGAATTCTCTTGAATACAAGGGAAGATATATCCTTTGAAGTTCGCATACATTGAAAAAGAATTCGTCAAAATGTTCTATTTCGCTTACGAAAGCAAGAAATATTTTCCGGCATAGTGAATTCGTTCGAGCAATATCTATTTTCAAAGGACAACGACGATAGATGCAACATCGAACGATCTATCTCTACTGGGGAGTGCGGTGATTTACATACAACAAGGTACCGCAATGATTGCTCTCGGAATATATTAACCTGCGTGCTCTAGATAAAGGTAGATCGTTGTGCTCGGCCGGACTTAAACGTTCACTATATCATTGCCCAACACGTGGACAAAGTCGTAATGTAAGAGAGTGACGTTGAGGAAACGAAAGAGAATGTGTTTTAATTATTATTGATCTAAGAAAAAATTACGATCGTTTATCTTTATCTATCAAGTGTTGTTGATTATCTGACGTTAAAAAAGTTTTTCTTCTTTTTATTTATTCGTTTTTTTTTAATTTTTTCTGATTCAATATACAGAGATTATCTCGTTTTCTCTTTATCTTTATCTATTTTTCTAGTCAGTTATACACTCTCTTCTCTCTTCAAAATGTTCTCTGTAGTCTTCCATCGTATCTCTTATCAGTACCAGCTTCAGGCGAACATTTTCCATTCTAAAGTCTATTATATTAATTCTTATTACTTCTTTGTTCGTTGCTTATCGTAGAAGAATGAAAATGAACTAAAAAGGCCACAATTTCGGTAAATCGACGATGTGAATAGTATTAAAAACGATTGCATAAGTGAATCAAGTTTTAGAGAACATATATATATATATATATATATATATATATATATATATTCATCAAATATCCACGTATTGCTTTTAAAGTTATCGAGATTATTCGACTTATAGAATCTTCAATGCGATAGAACCATCTCAACGATATCGGAGTCGAAAGTTTTTCGAGAGATTACGAGAGTTGAAGAGAAAAAAGAAAAATTTTGACGAGTCCCTGGAGAATGCGAGACTGAACGTATATATCTAAGATAAAGAGGTACCACTAAATTTATGAGTTACGAGTTTGTACAAGTATAAAACATCGCGTTACAATAAAATTGGAAGCATTATCGTGGATAAAATGTTCACTGCGATTCTGCAAATATAAAATCGTGATCGTATCTTTTATACTTTGGAACTGTTCTCTTCATTTCGAGTATACAATACAAATACTTTTATTATTGAAAAGAATATAAATGATATCTACGATAATGCGATGACGTGTGCTTCTTTACATATATATATATATATATATATATATATATATATATATATATATATATGTATTGGGATCGATACATATCAGGATTTAATAAACGCTGCTGCTTGGCTCGCTTTTATTCATTCGAAATACATAGGAATAACATATTAATGTACAAATAAATTATATATATATAATATTCAATACATGCATGCACACGTATTTTGGTAACGGATGCTTTACAATAATATGATACAATTCGTTCGTTTATAATTTCTCGACGTATGACATCGCATTGTTTGCCGATATTTGCTGAAAATGGACTTCCTTTATCCGATCAATGAGGACATTCGAAAGTCATACTTGCGTGAATAATGAAGACTGACAGGACGAATATTATACACAAATTGCTATTCCGAACCGATACGTCTCACCGTCTGTACGGAAGAAACGCGACGAGGTCGACCAGGGAAAATAGGAGTATGCATTTTTATGTGAGATTAAACGGCTACGTTCTCAAAAAGATTTGACGTAACCAAGAAATATCAGGTAAATCAGATGAATTATTAACGAACATTTTTATACTCGAACAAAGTTACATAAAACGAACAAAAATCGTTGAAATTTGTTTGAATTGTTGTTGTGTGAACCGTCGGAATAATTATGATTCGAAATAGAATCTTTCCAGAATAGAAAAAAGAAAAGAAATAATAATTTCTTGAGAGTATGATAACGAAGATAAATGAAGGATGAATCAGCGGAGAAAGAGGAACGTAATCCGGGAGTAAGTTCGTTCGAGGTTTTAACTGTCACGCGTGCTTCCCCTTGATAGTCGATTAACCAGGATGCTCGCGAATCACGATTTATACGGGAAACGCTCCACGAAATTATGGCCTCTCGGATTTCCGTAATGCCAAGATTTGCTGCTCTTGAAGCCACCTAATCCAAGCGCATGCCGGAAGATCCTCTTATCTTAGGGCCACGTTCTTCGAGGAAGGAGAAAAGGGGAGGAAGGTTGGCCTGGAAAGGCAAGAAAGTAAGACGATTACTTTAGGCATAGTGCAACGTAAAAACTCTTAAGCAAGGGGGAACATTACGCGAACGAGTATACCTTTAATTATACTTTATATTACCAAGAATCTTACAACGTCTCGCAAGCCGGAAGGTAATTACGCAGAAGCCTCCTCTCCTCGCTCGAATAACTCCTCTTCGAATCCTTCGAAGGGATATCCATAATCGTGAATTCCCAGCCACGTCCGTTCTCTTTTCTTTTTATTTTTTATTCTTTTTCCTTTCAAGCCAGACGTCGAAGAAATCAGGCCGGTCCGTAATTTCAGAAATAGCTATCGGAACTGCTAAGTTCTCGTGGCGTTCTCCCAAGAAAACAAAAGTTCGGAGACGCCCTGTGAGAGAACTCTGGCAATTTCTGGCTCGTCCTGTCCAAGGTGAACGAGTAGCCACCTGCTAGATTACGATCCTGACAGTATAACCTTCGGAATCGTATTATCTATCGGTATACGATCCCAATCCGAATGACTTATCGCGAAAGGGATATTTCTCGATCTCATCTAGATCTCATCGACATCGATAATCCATCGATGAGTTCTCCGAAGAAAAATCTATGAACAATATAATCCCTTCGATTAATGCAAATTCCGTCGTCATAATTTAACATCAAATGTATTAATATAAAATATCCTATCGTCGGACGATCGGTAGTGTCGATTTCGAAAGACCACTCTTCGGGGAATCGGTGTCTCGTAAGTAAAAAACCACACATTCCACGAATTCATTTTTAAAAGATGGATCTTAATTCTCTTTAATCCTGTTACCAGAAAATACCTAATATGAAATGTCCAGATGCTTCGCCGATGCACGCGATCACGATTTCGTCCTTGATCGATCGATTGATCGACTTAGACATAAGTAGACGTTTTCTTCTTTTCCGACCACAGAATATCGAAAAGAGGATCTAGTTATTCGATATACGCGTCTTAAGACGCGTGCTTGTGCTCAAGATGCGAATACTAAAGAAAAGGATAAGTTCAAATGTCTTATTTTGTCTCTTTCTCTCTCTTTCTCTCTCTCTCTCTATCGTCCCTCCTTTTTGTAAAAATATTAGGAAGTATAATAATCGAACTGTCAGAAAGATGAAGATATCTGGAAAATATTAAATTATCTAAAAAGGGTAGTTTTTACCTTCTACTAAATTTCAAAAAGGCTATTGAAGTCGTCCTATCTTCAGAAGCAGAAAAGTAATATCGATTTTGAGCTACATATTTCCAGTTTGATTTCAGATTCCGCTATATCTCGTTTAAATCTTTTCCTTTTAAGATAAGATAATCGGATTAAGTGTCCCCCATCGATGTAATAAAATTTACCCTATCGTAGCATCCGAATGAATTTTCACGGAACTTAAAATTATTACTATCAAAGTCGCAACGGGTCAATCATTGTTTTATCTAAGACAATTTAAGATAATTTTACGTCGTTCTCTTTAAAATCAATAAATAGCCTTAAGTGGAACAAAAGAGAGACAGAAAAAGAAAGAGAGAGAGAGAGAGAGAGAGAGAGAAAAAAAAAGAAAATCGGTAAGTACTTTTTCCGGAATTTCCTCTCTTGATAGGTTCGTCGAGCGAATAGCGGCTCTTTTAGGAAAGGTCTGCTGATGCATCTTATGTCAGAATTTTCTTCGAAGCATCAAATCAAAGATCGATTCGACGGCATTACTCGACGTAGATGTAGAGGGAGAGTCCTTAACACCAAGCTACTTGATTTACTGCTTCCTCTCGTATGGATCTCGTCGTTGCTGCCGCAGCTGCAGCAGCAGCAGCAGAAGCAGCATAGAGGCATCTGCGGTAGAAGTCAGAGAGAGAGAGAGAGAGAGAGAGAGAGAGAGAGAGAGAGAGAGAGAGAAACAGAAGCAGGAACGAAGACAGGAGAGGACCATTTCAACGTAGAATTGTGCTGAGTTCGTGCGGGCAAGGCAACGTACGAGTGATTTGCATGCGAGCGAGCTGTGAGAAAGAGACAAGGATATCACGAGAGATATGAGAGAGATGTGTGAGAGAGAGAGAGAGAGAGAGAGTGAAAGATATAACAGGGCGGTTAAGCCACTCGACGCCGTGCTGTGTCCGACCGGCTCGGTGGACGATAATTAACAGGTTCCGTAAACGCTGTACGAAATCGACGAATCTGAGTTCCTTTCTACTTCCAACACAAACTCCCTTCTACGTTAGTATCCGAATAGAGGCCGCGTGAACGAAGAGTGTTTACGATTCGTTATTGCCATGTTCCCAACAATAAATTTCAAGCCTCCGAGTCACCGCCGTCGGCTTTAGCGCCGACTACGAATCACGGATTATACTCTGGATATGTTATATATCACCTCTTTCTCCTCTAGGACAGAAAAAGACAGAGAGAAAGAGAGAGAGAGAAAGAGAGAGAATGAAAGAGAAAGAGAGAATGAGAGTGAGAAAGAGAGAGAGAGAACTGTTGCCAGACAATTGTTATATGATCATCCTGTGGTAACGTTTATATATATACTTGTTGTACATCAGACGTGTTACTATCCTTGACAAACGACGGAAAACATTTCTTGTAACTTTCGTTAACTCGTCTTCTCTTTACAATCATTTAATTTCTAGGAATATCTAAGTGATTCTTAATGCAAATTCATTGGTGCTAAGCTGCAAAATGTTTCGTAATGTTTCATTGAATTTTTGAATAAAGATATGTGGAAAATTTGTTGGATTCTAATTTATTTCCTCGTATCACCGTTTGATTCTTAATTCTTTGCGATCATTTATATGAAATGTAATTATGATGCGAATGTTACTTTTATTATTATCTATGCGAAATATAAAATATGCAAATCTAATTGCACCTATTCATATATAAGAATCATTATACAGTACAGCTTTATAAAGACATACTAGATTAGCATCGGATACGCTTGACATGACACTTAAGAAAAATGATCAGCTTAAAATGCGCCTCCATCGTAACTATTGAAATAAAAACTCTCTTATTAACGTTAACGATCGTGTCATTGATAAGCCACGATCCTGGTATTTGATAGAAGTAATTATTTCAGAGAATCGGAAGAATTGCAAATAAGCCAGGATACGCGAATGTGACGTATTTTTTAGTTGATCGTGTGGAAATGGAATACTGAATTATTTAAACGACGATAGAATGTAAAATGCATTCTTGTTGCGAATACATACACCTCTATATACATACATAGGTATCTATATATAGCACAATCGCAATTGACCAGAAATGAGAAATAGGAAACGAGATTGCGGGTAGGTGCGCAAAATCTGTTTCGCATACGATTTCGTATTCCACACTTCATTGCAGGCTCCTTCATACGCAGATTTTCAACGAAGAACGAAATCTCGTTATTCTTTTCCATTCTTACATACTACTTTTTATTTCCCTATCTCCTTGATTTCCTCACTTTTCTCTATAACGAACTACAGTCTACGAATAAATTCAGATGTCAATATAATAACGTGCAAATAAAAGAAAAAGAAAAAAAAAAGAGATAGAGGAAGATAAAAAGGAGTTTTATCTTTAGCGCTTTAAGGAACGAGAAACGTAAATGGAAGGAGGAAAGAAGAATCTTTCGTTTTATTTGTCATTAGATCCGTCGTATTGCCGATCTGGAATGATTCGAAACAATTACCGTATATCGCAATTAAGCTTCCTGTTTATCTCTCATCCTCTCTCTCTCTCTCTCTCTCTCTCTTTTTCTTTCTGCTTTTTTATGTACCTACCTACTTCGCTTTTTGCGCACATCGTGTAGACGTCCGATAAGCAAACGTACGTTTCTTGCGCGTTGGCTTTGAGAAAACATCGATCGAAGATTAAGACGAGTATTGGTAGAAGGAGCGGTGGAATTTATAGCCCGGATGAGGACCAAAGCGATTAAACGACTCAACGCCGAATCGTGTTTACTGACTGGTCGTAGGTAATTAACAGGCTCCATAAACACCGCACGAATTTACCTTCGCGACATAAGGGATGCTCTTGCACTAAACTTAATTTATCATTCGGCTTTCTCTGCTATCGATCGTTACGCACAATATATATGTTTCGTCGTTATAAGCACGTTCTTAATACTTTCTCTCTCTCTCTCTCTCTCTCTCTCTCTCTCTCTTTCTCTTTCTCTCTCTTGTTCTTTCAATCTCTTGCACCTTCCACCGTTTTAATTAAAACTCCATGCGTTTATTAAAACCACACGGACGTGCGACCGAGCATTACGTTCGATACGATGGATTGGTAAAGTATGCAAGGCTATAAGCTCGTTAATTATTACGCTGCTTAGGCATATTTTCCAAAATGAACAAGCCGACTGCCTTCAATCCATCGCTTTTTCCTTTTTTTCCTTTTTCCATTCGATGCTTCCTATCGTAAAGCTAATCGTCCGATACGTCTTTTCTTTTTTTTTCTTTCGTTGGATCGTTAACTGACACGTAATATGAGGGACATCATAGTTAGTAGTATATATTAAGTTAGTTAGGAAAATATAAAATTATAAAATACATGCTAATATTTACTTGCTTCATTCGATATAATTTACTCAAAGATGAAACAACGGAAGGCGTTGATTATCCAAAATAAAAAAGAATCGTTGATTCTGACGATAAAAATACTCTTATCTTTAATTTGCATTTAGAAAGCTTCTTCGATATCGAAAGAAAGAAATATAAATTCTTAAACTCTCCTTGGTCATAGTTTCGTGGTTTTATTTCCTTTTTCTAGTCGTCGTATCAGCAAACTTTTCCACGACTTTTATCTATGCGTTTCCAAAGTGCTTCTGGAAAAATTTGTCAAACTTCTTATATCCTGCGAATCGATAACGACCGTTTACCGTCGTCTATGAGAAAGAAAAAAGAAAAAGAGAAAGAAAAAAGAAAATAGAGTTTTACGTCTTATTTCAAAGGATAGAGAACGTATCGTTAAATCTATATGAAATTCTCATATTCATGAGAGAAATTAGCTTTTTTTCGAAATAATCTAAAAATCACTCTTGTCTTTCACAGAAATTTCATAGAAATTTTTGATGAATGTAAAGACAAAATTTCATAGATAAACATTAAGAAAATTGAGTAGGATCTTTGGTTATGATATCAAATTGGCGATAACGAAGGGTGTAACGTAATGATAACGTTACGGGATACATACAAATGAATTCGAACGTTTCTTGCATACCAGATTAACTTATAAGACGAAGAAGCATGTTAAATTTGTATAGAGGTACTGTTATATTAATTTTGATATACTATGTTTATATATATATATATATATATATAATATGTATATATGTATAATATGTGTATAATATATGTATATACAAACACATGCATATATATATGTGAGAAATTTTATATAAATTTATATACGATTTAGATATATAAAGTATTCATTCATCATATATATATATATATATATATATATCATATATATCATATATATATATATATATATCATATATATCATATATATATATATATATATATATATATATGATGTTATGACAAACGATTCTCAATGTTCGATGAAAGATCGACGTATATCCGAGAGTCGTCCAAATTTCTAAGAAAATAAATAGATCCCGTCTTTCGATAACTAAGGCCCTTTTCTTGAATAGGATCAGCATAAAAATTGCTCCATTATCGGAAGGAGCGTACAGTGAGTACCATCGATCTCCTTAAGGCGAGAGAATTGCGAGGTACGAGCTCGCGTTGCTAGTGCAGATCCGATGAATGGAAATCCGTAGGAAAAGCGAGACGCCCATTGGAAGCTGCTTCACATCGCGCGAATAATACTTGTAAAGTTCAAACGGCGCTTCTCGAGATCGGAGTTCGACAGCAAGATAAGTTATCGCGTCTCGTAGATCAAACTTTTGATAAAAACGTCGTCCGAAGTTTCGAAAAGATTTTTCGCGCATCCATCTCTACGTTTTCTTTCATGCGAACCCGAAAACGTCTGAAAGAATAGTTTGAATAAATCTTGTGTTATGTTCTATACCAATACACACGTATACATATATTATCACTTTTAAATTATCATAATGTCATCCTATTATAATTCTTACCAAATGTCTTTTTCTTTAGAGCTTTCTCGGTCTTAGTTTTCAAAAATTCTCGAGACACATAAAATACATCGAATATTTATTATAACAAAATTCATACAAAATTTTGACATTCAGATAGTACATACCGTAGAAAAGCAAGATTTCTCGTTCTCGAGATACGCATAGAAATCTTCTTATCATCGTAGACATAAACTTCCATCTTATACCAGCGCAGAACACTTATTATCGAATCCTTTCTTAAATATATGTATGTACATATATACATACATACAAACACACACACACACACACACACACACACACACACATATATATATATATCGATGATAAACGACGTTCCTTTCACTCGATACCGTTTCTTCGTACTGGGGACGTTATAACGAGGAAAACGGCGACGATCAGAGCGTTCCCTTTAATTAAGTTCGTATTGTGCAGAAGTGCGCAGCACTGCAAAAGATTCTTATCAACGCATGGGAGATATGAAGGTACCTGGGCCAACCATTCTGTATCTCGGGACGATCTGAGGTAGCAAAGCGAACGCTTCATTTAGATGGAGATGCGAAGAGACTGTTTTCTCTGTTCCCTCTTTAATGGTGGACCAGCGCGAGAAACTTCCACTATCTAACCAGAACCAGTTCTCCAGTCGCGTCGAAATAATTAGCGTCGATCGATAGGTAACATTCTCACAAATATAGTCAATGTTCTTACAGACACTGTCACGGAAAGTTCCTTTTCCTGAAGCGAATATATTTCAATAAATTTCGTAACATAGATAGATACATTATGAATGAATACGAATATCTTAACGTTTCTATGAATTTCTTTACAAAGTCGATCCGTAAAATAATCAATTGCATTTATTTAGAGACGCGCAAAATTCTGTAAACAATTTGATTAATAAAATGATCCAAGACAATTGCAAATAAATAACGAGTTCGTGTAATAAAAATGAAAAGAAACAGAAGAAGATGACGAGGTGCTGAGTAGGAACGTCCAGGAATTTACATAAAGTCGTGCAATTTTATTCATGGACACGGCTATGGCGTCTGTACATTTTCATAAACGTTCCAAATGATAGCGCTCACGTAACGTCCATTCTTTCTGCACTACATTCTTCATTTTTTTTTCTCGAACAAATGTTATTTTAGCTACATTTCTCTTTTGAAATGTCCAATGCCATACAACGCTTTTCCGTCGCAATAAGTGATAATGGATAAATATACGATAATAAAAAGTGCAGCGATAAAAAAGTTGTTTCGTTTAAAACATGCTTTTGCTATAGTAATTATTAGCACGACTTTCTAATGACTTTACAAACGGTAAACAGGATTTTTTGTTTGGGACAATGCGTTTTTCGATGTAGCAACGAAAACGCGAACGAATCGGTAACGACGATGACTCTTCGTGATTGTACACGTGTGACTTGCTAAAAAGGATTTTATGTACACGTCAGTTTTTCGAGGCCAAGCGTTATCACGAGCCATTAAACCATAACATCACGTGTAAAATGTAGTACACTACGATATACATATTTTTATTTCATGGACAAGCGCTATGGCTTGTGTGTACACGTGCGCGATATCGTATTTAAAAACAAATAAAACAAAAAATATCAGTACATACCATTTTCCAAAGGAAA